CCCCAAAACCCCAAAACCCCAAAACCCCAAAACCCCAAAACCCCAAAACCCCGAAAATTTACTGGATGATTGTGAATTAGATTTTTATAATAAAATTTTAACAAATATGCCAAAAGCAAGGAAAAGTAGGTTTTAAAGCATTCATATGGAATACTTTATAGACGATACAGATTAATTTTGAGTATAGAGTTGAAGGAGAGCGAGCAAGAGAGAACTATCAGGGCTATAAAGGAGATCGTGAGCGCACTGATTCAAGCTTATGATAAGAATGAGAAGATCAATGTGTCAAGGCTTAAGTCTAAGATCAGCTCTAAGAATCAACTTAGTACAATGCCCAAGCTTGTTGATATTCTTGCAGGACTACCAGAAAGTCATAAGGCAAAACTGACCCCTCTATTGAAAGGAAAACCTATCAGAACTGCTTCTGGAATTGCTGTAGTTGCTGTGATGGCTAAGCCTCACAGATGTCCTCATATTGCTTACACAGGGAATATTTGCGTGTATTGTCCTGGAGGTCCCGACTCTGATTTTGAGTATTCCACTCAAAGTTACACCGGATATGAGCCAACAAGTATGAGAGCCATTCGGGCAAGATATAACCCATATTTGCAAACAAGGGATAGAGTTGAGCAACTTCAGAGACTTGGTCATGACACTGATAAAGTTGAATTTATTGTCATGGGAGGTACTTTCTTGAGTCTACCCAATGATTACAGAGATTACTTCATTAGGAACCTCCATGACGCTCTTTCAGGACATTCTTCAAACTCTGTGGATGAAGCTGTGAAATATTCAGAGCAGAGTAAAGCTAAATGTATTGGAATCACAATTGAAACACGCCCTGACTATTGTTTGGAGCCTCATCTAAAGGACATGCTTGTCTATGGTTGTACAAGAATTGAGGTAGGAATCCAAAGTATTTTCGAAGACGTCGCAAGAGACACTAATAGAGGCCATAATGTGGAGTCTATTAAACCTATGTTCCAACTTGCCAAAGATTGCGGATTTAAGGTTATCGCTCATTTAATGCCTGATCTGCCAAACACTGGATTTGAAAGAGATATTGAGAGTTTTAAGGAGTATTTTGAAAACCCTGCTTTCAGAACCGATGGACTGAAAGTGTATCCAACCTTAGTCATCAGAGGAACAGGGCTCTACGAGCTTTGGAAGACAGGAAAATATAAGAACTATGACCCAAATACCTTAATCGATTTGATTGCTAAAATCCTCTCCTTGGTTCCACCGTGGGTGAGAATTTACAGAATCCAGAGAGATATTCCAATGCCTTTGGTAACGTCTGGAGTTGACCATGGAAATGTAAGAGAGCTTGCTTTGAGAAGAATGAAAGATCTTAATCTTCCTTGCAGAGATGTTAGAACAAGAGAGGTTGGAATTCAAGAAATCCATAATAAGGTCAGACCTCAAGATGTGGAGCTTATTAGAAGAGACTATAAAGCAAATGGAGGTTGGGAGACTTTCCTTGCTTATGAAGACCCAAAACAAGATATCCTTATTGGACTTCTAAGACTTAGGAAACTGTCTGAGAAAACATTTCTTCCAGAGTTAGTTGGAGCTTCGATGGTCAGAGAACTCCATGTTTATGGATCAATTGTACCTATTCATAGTAGAGATCCTACAAAGTTCCAGCATCAAGGCTTTGGTACTATGTTAATGGAAGAAGCAGAAAGAATTGCCATCCAAGAGCATGGATCAACAAAGATGGCTGTAATTGCTGGAGTGGGAACAAGACATTATTACAGGAAGCTTGGATACCACCTTGAGAAAACTTATATGGTCAAAGATTTAGTGAAACCAGATGATGATTGGGAAGATTACTAAAGCTATGCTGTTAAAAATAGCACACTAAAATTTCAACTGCATCCCAACTCATTGGGGTTTTGGGGTTTTGGGGTTTTGGGGTTTTGGGGTTTTGGGGTTTTGGGG